GCACAGCAATGTCCCACAAACAGTCGTAGATTGAAAATGACCAATTTTATTGTTTTNGGTTTTGGAGGGATTATTATTAGGCTCTGTGTGGAGTAAGGAAACTTGCCCAAGGTTTCGCCCTCTGCCTGGAATTGAACTCAGGTCTCTCACTTGCAAAGCGAGTGCTCTAACCACTGAGCTACAGGACTCCACTTGAATGACATATCCAGTATGTGGCATTGTCCCAATTCCCATTCAGTGGTTAGGTTTGCACGTCCTTGTAATTTTTATTTAACTTCCAAGAAATAAAAGATTGGGAACATATCATTTGCCAGCTCTTGCCGTCAAACTTTTATCTTATTTGGAGGACTGAGGAGCTTTGCTTGCCAGGGTCCTGTTTTATCTGGACAATATTCTTGTATTCCTCTCCACTTGTCTCTGCATACTGCTGTCTCTTATTTATGGCGAGTAGAAGGAGTGAAAGATGGGAAAAGCGTCAAATTAGATTTTTCAGACTCTGACAGATTATGTACTCGGTGGGAAAAAAACTATTTGCCGAATATTTCTGTACTGTTGATTTATGATTCTCCGTAAATAGAAGGCTGTTGGCTTTCTGAATCGAGGATTTCTTATTGCTGCCAAGTCAAGAGATAAAGCCTGCATTAAGATAATGCTTCTTCAGGTTGTCATTTGTGGGGTCAGATTAAATTTGTAAAACACTGCGACTCGACAAAATATGTACGTGCAGAGAGCGAGTGTGTGAGGTATTGTGTAGTAGGACGTTTTTACATGTTTGGTTACTGCAAAATAGTGCTCTTGTTAAACACAAGTGCTTCCATCATTCACTGTGCTGAGCTGGTTGTAGTTGTATGATTGATTGTCTGCCTGTCAATGTACCCTTTTAGAGTGTTGCTTGCACCTGTAGGCATTAAATAGTCATGGCATTGAAGTTCCTTCGGACAAGGTGCAGAAGGAAAAAATGTTTTTATTTGTGCTTTGTGACTTTCACGTCAGGAGGGGCTACTTTCACTCTTTATCTTGTACCTACCCTATCCCCCTCCACCCCCATTCCCCCTCTATCAAGAGGTCTATAGAGATTCAGATCTCTGTGGGGCAATATTTTTAACCCACACACTGCAATGCTGATGAGTAATACTTCAATGAGAAAGAGAGTGAAAGGTTAGAAATAATAATCCTGATAATCCTTGCATTTGTTGCAGCGCCTTATCACGTCTCCGAGACATCTCAAAGCGCTTCACAGATTACACTGTATGTTTTGTGGGTGAAACTTCTCTATTCTTAACCCTAACCTGCAAACATTGGTAAAAAATGCCCTGTTTTAAATAAACTTTTCAAAGCTTTTTCTCTGCTTATCCTTTTGTTATCTTTTCTCCTACGTTTATCTTTGCTTTTGTTTTACTGTTATCTACCTCTTCTGTGTGTTTTGTTGCTTGTGATATTTTTCAGGGTTCCTTTGAACTGCGTTCTCCTTTACTGGTTTGACATTAATGGACTTTCTCCCTCTATTTGCTCCCTCTCTCTCCTTCTCTGGTCTTCTGCAATACAGAATACTGTTCTTTTGCAATAGTCTGCCAGTGCAGAGCTGCCTGACCTAAGGGTGAACAATTAACCTGCTATTATTATTTACTGCTGGATTGTTCACGTCTCACAACCTCTTCCACAACCTCTTTAAAATGATGAATATTGCAGCCCTGGCTAGCAGTTTCAAGCCCTCTGTTATTGTGCAGTTTAAGGGCTGAGATCACAAGCCAATACATTTTTTTTTACCTCCCTTCCCCTTGCAGTCAAAATCCCTGACTGTCAAGTGCCTTGGGACGTCCTCCCGATGTGAAAGGAGCTATTCAAATGTAATTTGTTTGTTGTTGTAGCGGAGAGAATGCAGGTGCAGAAGTATCATGAGCTGAACCTGAGATGAGACCAATGGTGACTCTGAAGTCTCTTCTTCTCCCTGGGGTAGAACACCTTTCTTCAGGCTACGAGGAAGAGATCAGCGAATTGGTGCGTGACAAATCGCAGCTGAAAACTGGCATCTTTAACCCTGTGTGGTGAGCAGGATGAAGGGAGTTTCATCCAAATGTTCTCCAGAATAATCGGTCATTCATTCTCAATACATGGCTGTTTCTGGGACCTTGCTGTGTGTAAATAGGTCCACAAAATACTGTGCCTACACTCGATGACAATCACTATAAAGCCAGTTGAGACATTGTTCACGTATAAAAATTCCAGTCCTTTCTTTCTAGATATGAAAAGTACAATTTGAGAAAAAAAAACTAAACGAGTGTAGAAATACTAATCGAAGATCCCATTTTAGGGACATTTTCCTACTTTTTCTATCCATAATGTTTCACCCATTTTGCCTCTTTGAAGCTCTGTGCGACCGGAACATTTTAAATCTTAACTCGTCTAAAATTACAGGAGGTCGTCCAATCTTCATAGTGCCTCAGGTCGATGATTATCTGTGTGAATATTAATTCATCTCTGTGCTTCAGTGTTGGGCTCATTACTCCTCGAGGCACTTCCCCCCTCCCCCCCCCCTCCCCGTACTGCCAGCAGCCCTCATAATTTATAAATCTGAAAGAAAAAAATCAACAAAAAGACTGAAATAAACGGATGTTTAAAGTTAATTATAATTCGATGTAACTGTTTAATTTTTTTTTAAAAAAAGGGATGCTGATGGTGACATATTTTCTTTAATGACCCAGATGCCACAGGGGGACTTGGAAGTGGCTTGGCAAATTTTATGTATTAAAGTGGGACCATTGGACCCACCAGGGATTCTGCGAGTAATCTTGTTAAAACAAGAAGCTGCCATAAGGAAAATGCCGCAATTCTTCTAAGAATGGCTTATTTTCGCTCTTTCTCTCTCTCTCTCTCTCTCTCTCTGTGCGCCCGTTGCAGAGAAAAATACAAAAGACTTTGTGGGTTCTCCCCACGAGAGAGGACCCGGGTTCGATTCCAGGGCCGGGCCAAACCAAGGCACACTCCGCACGCGCCTCTGTTTACCTAGCAGTAAGCAGGAGCCCATTGATTGGGGATTGGCCGATCGTTTTTTCCCAGGGATAATAATCCCTTCCAAAAAAAAAAAAGAAAATACAATAGTAATTTGGTCACTCAATCCACGACACTCTGTGGGGACGCTGCTGTGCGCAATTGCCTGCTGTGTTTCACCCATAAAGTATACAGTCATTTCACTTACAGTATATTCTGTGAAGCGCTTTGAGACATCTCGAAGGTGTGATAAGGTGCTATATCAAATGCAAGGATTATTATTATGTTATATTATAAATGAACGTGTTGACCACAGACTTGAGCTGTCACTTGTCTGTGGATTGAGGGGCTGAATGGCTTCCTCCTGTTCCTATAACAATTTTGTTGTTGTGTTAAATAGAACTGAACAGTCGTTTTGGTTTGACTTTGGTTGCCTTGTATCCGATCCAATATATAAATCAAGTTGTTTTTGCTAAAGTAGCACTGGCAGCGCTAGATTTCCGTAGAACCTGAATTCTTCAGCATAATAATAATAATGATAAAAATCTGAAAATGAAATCCTACATTTACGTCTTGCAAATTAAATGTCTCATTTTGTTCCAGTTATAAAATTACCATTATGGAAAATATAGTCCTGTTCTTATCAAATGTTCATAAATGTTTAAAGGGCCCTTGGGTTGTTAGGATTTCTCAGAGATCTCCATTTTGCTATTTCTCGTGCCTACTTTGCAGCACATTACATTAAAGCCGTAATATTCTCTTCGGGAGTGTATCAATTCAGATTAAAATACCTTCTTAGCCATGTTCTCGGCTTAGTTATTATCCGAGATTGGGGAAAAAAAGTCGAGGATGGGTAGATTTATGGTACAACCGCGGTTTTAAAACGAGGAGTAGAATAAATTAGTTTTGTGACGCTATTATTTCATATTGACCAGAACTACATTGTTGTGAGATGCTGAACTCCTGTCTCACCTCAAACCTCCTAATTGTCGGCTTACAAGTCTCCAGCTCTGCAATGCAACCCGAGTGTGGTAACTACTGAGGAATATTATACCTATATGGATTTTGTATTCTCTACTGTGCTTGAACTCCGAATGAACCACAGAACCCACCAAACACCACAGACCAATCCTTTATAACAAAGCTGGAATGAATCCCTCTGCCCTCTGCAGGAGAATATCCACACTACTGAAACCCAGAATGCATTCCCTTAAAAATAGCTTTTAAAATCAGTAGAAACTTGTATAAACCTACAAAATATACAGTCAATTAATTTTACGGTATATTCTGTGAAGCGCTTTGAGATGCCTCGAAGACGTGATAAGGCGCTGTATCAAATGCAAGTATTATTACAAACAATACACATTTTGTTTGACGTGTAGCGTTATTTAAAAAATCATTTGTGGCTATCAAACAGGGAAACAGAAGTATTGTTTTAGACTTTGCATATACTGAGGCCCAAAATACTTTTGTGCGCGGAGTTGGGGCAGAAATGAAAACTCCATTTAAAAAAAAGTGCCAATCATCCTCCAGTTGCTTTAAAGGTAACAAAGTTTATTCCAAATGCTTGTAAAACTTTACAGGCAGCAGTTCAGTAAAAATAAGAAAATTTTATGTAGCATTACCTGCAAGATATCTATTAGGGAGGACTGACAGGAAGTTAAAAATTGGCCGGGCAAATCAAACAGGAAAGGTAAGTGAGCGGTTCTGTCAATTAGATGTGCATTTTTTGTTCTATACTGCGTCAGGATGTGGAAAATTTAGCCGCAGCAAGTGTAGATTTGTCAGGAAAGGAGAAATGCTAAATGGGGTCAAATGTATTAACCGTTTATGTATTCGAAGGATCGTTTTGCTTTCCTTTCTCAACTGTGGATTTGGATCCTTCTTCTCAAACGTTCGTAAAGTTTTTAAAGGGTTGTTAGGATTTCTCACAGATCTTAATCATAACTCATTAATTAATTATTTAATCGATGATAAGACTCCAGCAGCTTCTGTCTTGTTTCTTTCCGCAGGCCTCTTCACATTCTGATCCTCAACGCTGCTGTCTTTGGCCTTCCGTGGCAGTTAACGAGAGATGGGCTCGAGACCACTTTTCAAGTCAACCACTTGGGACATTTCTATCTGGTTCAGCTGCTTGAAGACATTCTGCGCCGTTCTATCCCTTCGAGAGTGATCATCGTATCTTCAGAGTCCCACAGGTTTGTGATACTTCTATTAAGTGTCGTTTTTGCCCCCCGTGTCAGTAATTCTTTGTAACCAGAGATGCTGTAAAATCTCTGCATGGTTAAAGTGAGCTTGAGTTTGGGGAGAAATGGCATCATTTGGAACCGGGTGTATTTGTGGGTGTTTAGGGTGCAGCTACAAGCAATGTGATGACACACATCTGAATTCTAGACTTCCTTCCTTGCTCTTGCCAGGCATAATCCTTCCATCGAAACAAATCTTTTGATGTGAATTATTCTTGCGATGCAGGAAGTTTAATGAAAAGTGGCCACTAATGCAGAATAATTGACCTGCAAATGGGAGACATTTCAAGGGGAAGTTTGACCCGCGGTTCCAGTTTCAGAATGGTGAATGGGAACTATTAATGTCAATATGCTATTCTGTCTCTCACTGAGCAATGACCATTGGTTTACAGTTGGTAACTGGGAATGCTTTTCATTTAATCTATTCATTTGTCAGCTCAGCTCTTTCCCTAATTGTTCCCGGGCTGATATTGCCATTTACTGCTCAAAGTTTAAACTCTATTAAAATCGTATTTTAAAAAGTTCACAGTTAAAAAAAAACAAGGGATAAAAGTATTTAAGCTAATCACAGCTCCTTTCACAGTTTGATTTTCGTGAGGGAATCCTAATTTGAGACTCTAAACCCTCAGATGAGTATGAATGCAAGTTGTTGCTATTGTTTAGAGTCCAATGACAACCACTTGTGTTCGTGCAGGGTCATTCACGAGGGGAGCACTTGTATAATTCGCCGATTGTAGCTGCTTTCTTTTTGATAAAGCTTTCAGTTTGTATGATTGAGTGCCGGTGGATTTAGCTTGTAGTGCATAATTTCAGTCTTATCCAGGAACCTGCTCTCCCCTTCATCCTAGTGACCCTAAAACACCCTCAGGCTCCTGGGAAGCTTGTGGGTTCAGTATTAATGATTGGCTACTGCGTGCTACATGCTCAGTGAGTTTTAAACCTGAGGATTATTTTTCAGTCTCAAATCAGGCAGTCGACTGTGCTACATTCATCATCTGACCTTCTATTTCAGTATCCGTCCCAGTATCGCTAGGTTACAGCACACTGACTTCATTCTGCACCCACCTCTCCAGGTAGACACCATAATTGCCAGGCATTCCTCCTAGGTTGTTGTGTTCAGCTTTCTTTTTATTGATTTGTTGCTCGTTGGCGAGAGCTGCTACTTCCTCTCAGGGTAGAATGAGCTCCACCACGGTGACATGTTCAGTCTCGGTTGACCACAAGGTTTGTGTCTGGTCTCTCGTTTTTTGGCAGCAGTTACCCTCGGGGGAAAATAAATCCTATCAAATCCCTTCTCCCAGGATTAAGCTGTTGACACAATCCCACAGTCGCCATTCGGCAGCTTGATAAATGTTGGCCCAAACTTTTGCAAGTTGACACTGTACATTCTACATTCTGCCTCCTCTAGTGACCTGCTACAGGTTAACAATACATTTTTTCTTCAGCGATTTGGCTATTGCCAATTGGACCTGATGCTACATAACGACCACAATAATATTAGTTTGAGCCTGTGGGTGTTTAAACAACGCTTCCAATAGACTGGAAGCCATGCCTCTGCCTGTGGTGCTTGAGGATATGCCACAGAAATTATCACGGGCAACAATAAGTTTTATTTGGATGAGGTTTGGCTGCTTCTGAACTGTGTTCTCGGAGCTTGTACATGACAGGGAGCACGGTAAACATCTGAAAATAACTCGCGCCGTATGGAGATTGTACTTTATGGAGCTCGCTGTCATTGTCACAGTGTTATTCACTTTATCATCCCAATCTGCAATCATGGAGGTATCACAAACCATAACAATGCTTCATTGCTGTAGCAGCCCCAGAATAAGGTCGCTGTCTTTCTATTTTACCTTCAGTGTAAAATCCCTGGGGTGGAAGTTTTCTCTGTTTATTAGGAATGGGAGGGGATTACCATCCTCTGGTGTTTTCAGGGCCAAAACTGAACAAGGGAATTAGCTGACTGAGCTCATTCTTTTCACTGATCCCCAAAATCACTTGCCAACCTTTGCACCCCTGCTCCTTCTTTGTACCTATGCACAAAATCAACTTTTCCTGTAGTTTGAGAGAGTGCAAGGATATAATATTAAAGCTATAAGTCATGGAAATTCTTTGCCCTCTTAGCCTCTATGTCATCCGATTGTCAGTTTTCTCCCACCCTCCTCCTCTACAAACCTGGCTGGTTACAACAGCCACCCAGTAAGCCCACTGGGCTGTCTAGGCTCTATAAAGCTCCAGCTTCCATGTTTGCGTACAAGTAGTGGAGGGGGGAAGAGTGATCATTGCATAATGCCTGCCGAGATATTTGTATTTACCTCCAATTGCAGTTTCCGCTCTGCATCCCTTCCCTTCCCTTCCCAGGGATATATCAGACCTCAGTGCCTGAGAATCTGTTTTGAGATATTTCCACAACGGCCTTTCTGAACGTGTGAGTCTACCTCAAATTAAAAGACCAGAAATGATCTATACCCCGATGAAGAAATGAAAGCTCTGCAGCTCTGTGTGTGTCTGTCTGTGTGTGTATGTGTGGACACGGAGCGCTTGGCAGTGAGACGAAAGGCAGTAATCGATTGAGGTCTGAGACCCAAGCTTGAGTTTGTTTCCTCCAATGTGCAGCAGGTGGTTGTGATCAAGGCTCAGTGTTTGATGCTGTCCACCACTTCTGGGCAGCACTGGTAAGCTATTAGGAGCGATGTTTGGAAGCGGCTTGAAATGGTTGCGGTAGTTAAGAAAAGAGCCTTAAAGTAAGCAGCGGCAGGTAGTAGGTAAAGCAGCCACACTATTATTTATGGTAGAAAGCCAAGGGGATTTCAGATAGCCAGCAGTGCAACACTCTATTTTCAGTAGTAAAGCTGGAACAAGCTTGTTTCAGGACATAACTCCACCATACCCGCCTGCACCAGTGTGACCGCAATTACAGTTTTCTTCCAATGCTCAGACCAGTTGGTTCAAAGGTGAGAGATTGATTTTGGCTTTGTACGGAATAAAGATTGATTAAATCAGAATGCCACGACCTTCATCGATTTGTTGTTTGACAATCAGTACAGCTTGCCAAGAATCACTTGATGTTACTGTAACATGAGAAAAAAATGCAATTAAATACTGCTTTGATGAAAATCAAGCATGAGAAGCTCAAGTGAAACATCAGGTCTGAAAATTTTATATATATATATATTTACTGGAATATTACCTCTTAAAATAACCGCACATTTTAGAGCTAATTTCAGAAAGGTTAAGAAACTAAGTTGCAGCAGTGTATTGGGTAACCGAGCCAAGAGACCAGTCATTGATGAGCAGTTTCTAGTAAATTATGAGCATTTTAGCTCAACTCTATTGCTGTATACTTGGATAAAGTATTTTATGCACAGACCTGCCGCAAAGCAGCAGTGCTATGGTTTCATGGTCTCTCCTTTTATATCATTTTTCACGAACAAAATTGTTATAGTCTTAAGAACTCGGCACGATAAAATTTTCATGCTGGATGAAGCATTCATGAATACCGCGGAAAATATTTTAATTGCAAAAAGTAATGAGGTTGTGGCACCAACGGCTATTGTATTTTATTCAGCCTGAGAGCACAGGGACCTGGAGCATCTGTGAACTGGGAGAGATCAGCACAATGTTCATTCAAAGGGTTTCTCCTTGGGAGTCGGTAGCAAGTTTGAAACTAGTTCTACCTCTGGTGATGGCAGTGGGTTATACGGCACGTGTTTGTCAATGCATTTGATCTTCCAGTTGTGGGCATGATTTTGTTCTTAAACTATATTCCACCCAGTGTTCTCATTAATGTCTGCACACGCACCGATCCTTTAAGTTCCAGCGAAACCACTGAGTTCAATTTATTTGCAATTGAGGAGGTTTATTGGAAAACTGCAAAACATTTTGTCCTGACAACTGAACCATTAAAAGTGAAGTCTTTAAGATACAAACTCGTCTCATTACTGTAGCCCCACTTGATCTCGTTTTCAGAAAACTTTTCCAGGACTTGATGCAACTCCTAATCTACACAACATCAACTACGTGTATTGATAGTGTTCTTCACGAGGGGTAGCGGTTGATTTCTGAAGTTTAGTAACTATTGAGTTCTGAAGTTTAAGTGATATATTTTTTACTAGAACTGCCTTTCACTTTGTGTTTGCTATAAAACAGCACAGGGAGATGCATCCGGCTGAGATTTAAGAAGACCTCAGTTAATCCTGGCTTTGTTGATTTATATTTAAATCATTTGTTGTGTAATGAAGGTCATCTGTCCATTGATTGAAGATGTGGCGTCGGATTGACATGGAAATGCTTATGTCCGTTGGAGGGGGATGGATGAGACCCAGGACCTTGGAAGCTGGCAGTGGCAACTTATTATTGCTGTCCTACCAATTGTTGATCTGTACTTATGTAGAAATGAATGAACCTGCAACTCCTCTGCAACAGGACATCGCTGACCTCTTCAATGCTCCTGGACACAGTTCATCTGGCTAATGCCTCCTCAGGCATTTGCAAATGATTTGATACCAAGAAACCTACAGACTCTCTATGTTTAACTTACTGTTCTGCCATTTTCCATCTTCTACCAACCAAAGTGCTAAATGGCATATTCGTTGCATTAGTCAAATGGCTAATTTGTACTTATTAAGAGCGGTAACTTTCAATAATTTAAATTAATATCTGCTTGAATGGCTTAGCTTACCATCATCAATAATTTAAGGTCCAGTTAATAGGCATATTCAGTGCTTCTAGTGTGGTGCTGGAATGCAGGGAAATGCTGCTTGAAAAGGGTCTTAAGTGCCTTTGGGCTCAATTTTATAAATGTTCCAGCCTTATATTTGGTAGACATTTATGGGTGTAAACTTATTCTGTTATTTTAAACTCTACAATGCCAACACAGTTATTGACTCATAAACCAAATGGTGTTTTGAAGCACTTACAATCTAGGGGTATTGATTATTTCTCTGCCCTGT